TAAGATAGGTGGCTTGTATGGATTAATGGAATACCTAGCCTAGATATCTTCTCGTAAAATTGAGAGGATATGAATTCTGGCATGGATTTATGGAACGTCACACTGGAAGCTGCACATTTATTGGAAGTGACAATAATTGAGGCCCAGAGGGTTTTTTCTTTTATTTATTTATTATTTATTTATTTTATTAGTTTACGAAGCAGATTGGGTCTCATCAGTCTCTCAAAGGCTCAAACCAATGTTAACTCGTATTCTTTTAATTTTGGGTTCCAGATATAAGGGGAAAGGGCCAAAGGCCCAAGGTCACCGGAGACTGCAAGTCTGCAATAGTGTTTTGGGCAAAGACGGGTGGCACGGGTGATGGGTGAAGAAGAGACCAAGACGCAAAAAAAGCCAACCCATGATCCATATGAACTTTGAAACTTTAATTAATATTCACATACATTTTAGATTTTTTGTTTCATTTGTGGGGTGCCTTGGCCATACTAATTACTATAAGGAAGAAAATTATGACTAAATTATTTAACTTAGTTACCACAATCAAACCCAACTATAAATTAAGATTTTGTTTAGTATGATTATGTTTTTTTTAGTTATCATTTAGCATAATTATGTTTGAATAATTAAAATTACTAATTTATTGAGTATAAATTTTTAGAAATACCACTAAAAAAATGAAAGGTTAATAAATTTATAAAAATCAAAATTAAAAATCACAATTATATTAAATAAAGTCTGAACTAATATACTTCATTAAAAAAATTATAAATGTGTTTTTTCAATTTTAATGAAATAAATGTAGTCCGAATTGAAGGATAAAGACCAATAAAAATACCCTTAATAAATTAAACATACATGTAATTTTTTTTTAAATCTTATAATTGCATAATAAGAGATAATTTTCTCTCATTTCTTAATCGATTATATCTCATCTTATGATGAAAATTTAAGATTTATTATTTTTATTAGAGGAAAATTATCATTAAACAACTTAAATCATTGATAATATACATGTAAATTCATTAAAGGCATATATATTGATTTTTCCACTTTTTTTAAGTTGATCCAAACAAAAAAAGTCCTGTGCTCTTAACAAATATATTTTCATGTCTTTAGATTTTTCTTAATCTCATTCTCATAACATCAATTTCGAATTGTCTTTTATGGATTGTCAAATTGTGAAAATCTTTTCTTCTTCTTCTTCTTTTTAATTTTTTTTT